TAGAAATATCCAAAATAGTTAAATAAAACCTGAGTCTGGAGAGCAGAGAAAACAACACGCCTTGTCTGGGTAAGACTAAGTCTGAACTGGGCATGTGCGGCCAGGCAGGAGGCGTGGCTATCTCAGACTTAGTCTTATTGGGTACAAGGGACTTCAGGAAACCCAATCAAGTGGATTATCCATCCCTCATGCTGGAGAAGAAACAAAAATTAAAAGCTGTCTTCATCATGACAATTCCACATTAGAAACTTAGACACAGAATAACATGTTCCTTATGAACTGCACTGCCAGTTCCCATCATCTGCTTTAAACACGCAGACAACTGCAACAGAAATATAAACTCCACAGAGTTCAATAAGACTTACTCCCAGGTATGTGTATATAAATATTACTTACAAATGTTCAGGTTGTGAATTTTTCCTAGTGCAAATCAATCTGTCCACAACTCTAACTTAAAAGGTCTCAGTAGTCAAAAGAAGATGGGAAAGAGTTACCAGTGCCAGAAACTAATCCTTTCCCACTCTACTCACATACTCACATCCAAAATGGTGGAACAAAGTATTAGAGATATACTTGAAAGGTCTTTAAATAAAATTCGCCAATTCGTTGAACAGCTGTGGTCTAAGGATGATTAAAAAATCCTCTCAAATTACTTAGATGCAAACATGTGGAGAATGCTACCATAATACCAAGGCAAGTTCACAAATAGTTGAAACTTCACAAGTAGTTGAAAAGGCAGAAAATGCAGAGCAGCTCATTGCAGTTTTGGAAGAACCTAATATTAACTTTCATTATTATGATGTAAATATAAAACTCTCAACATAAAGAAGAAAAAAAATGTGACAAAAAACATGCAATTTTGACTTTGCTTTTGTCGATTACATAGATTTGCTAGTATAGATTACATAGATTTGCATAGAAATGGCTAGTTATATAATAATGCGTAAAAACAAAAAGTTGAGACTAGAGTGCTTTTATTTTGTACTGTGCTAAAAAGAGTCGGAAGTCAATACTTTTTTTTTCTTTTCCCTTCTACCTCACATCTTCTCTTTCCCTTTTCTTTTCCCTCTCTTAATCTCTTATTTCTATTTTTTTTTTGTATTTTATATTTTATATATTAAATAAAATTATTAAAAAACTTTTACTCATTATGCTTTTTATGCTTATTGGATTTGCAAACAAAACAGAATTATGAACAGCCTTTCAGAATGTAACCTGTTTGTAACTAGAGCACTGTCTGTATAGAGCTGCATCCTAAGTAGATGAATCTAAATCTATCCATCTCAGAAAGCCGTGAATGACAATATCTTCAAACATAAGGAAAAAACCCTCCAGAAAAAATATAGAAAATTTTCGATATGCTAATCTTAGCCATATATTGCTAATATTACTATAGTTATTATTTAACCTGTTAATATAACTGACTTATTTATACAAAAGATTTATATTGCCTTCAGTCCTGCTTCCCAAACAATTGACAAACAAATGCTCAAATGTAGATATCTGTGGAAGAAAGACCCTTTGAAATATTTTAAAAATATGTAACATCATGACAACACCTGTATAAAAATACACAACTGGATTTAATAAGTATTTTAACAAATTTCCTGCAAAATTGTTATAATATGTTTTACCTTGTTTAATTCTTTTTGTCTTTAAACATGCATTTTTCCAGCTATCCATAAACGGTTGACTTTTAAATAATTTTCCTTTATGATCCAGGAATTTATGGTCAGGTGTCAGGAATGGCAATTTTCTTTCTTTTGGAATTGGCTGGAAAGTGATATCTTTCCTATTTCAGACAGCAAAATGGAACATCACGGGAATATGTAAAAACAACAAATAAGTAATGTTTTTCTAATGTTATAAAGCACAAATATATTTCAGATAAACAAGTCACTAAAGAATCTCGTTACAATGCTACCTTTCATTTGAAACACACCTTCCTTCAGCTTTCGGTAACCAAGGTCCTTTCTTTGAGTGGGAATATAACTTCTGGAATTCCAAGAAAACAGGGCCAATGAAGGATGAAATGCTTGCCAATAGAAGGTCCAAGTTATAAAAAACTTCCCTAACTAACTGATCATCCCTAAGCAATATTGATTTGGCTGACAGGTTCTACACACTATCATGGGTGGTTTTAAACAATATACTTTTAGGAATCTGTTTCTATATCAATAGTTTTATGTGCAACTCCTAAACATCAGCCATTGTACATTAAAGTAGTGTGGAAAAACTTCAAAGTTCTTGCACTTTGTATGTAACCTTGTATGTAGTCCATACGAAGAAACTTTCAGGCATTTAGTAAGAGTAGGCAAGCTGATTTCAGAAATTTGGGCATTACATTTTTAATTAATTCATTGAGGAAGCTTAATGACTCACTTTAGAAATCATGGGTCTTAGACAAGCAAATCATGGGTCTTCCAAAAGCAAAAGATCGTTTTATTAAAGAAACAGATACTACCATTGCTATTGATTCTTTTATACATGTTTCAGCTTTAACATTTCCAAATAAGTATTTCAGTTTGTTCAATTTCCCTCTACCCTAAAATAGCAAATGGTGTATCCCAAATGTATTTATCTACCAAAATATCAGCATGTTTTATTAAGAATAATTATAATAAATTCCAAAGTGCCAGAAAAAAGGATAAAGAACACGTCTTTATCAAAATCATCATCAAAGAAAAATATGCTACAATTTTAACCTCATGACCACACTCAATAGAAAGATACTTTACTGATAACTTCTACCTAGTATTATTTTGGTTCAGACATTGATTGATTGATTGATTGATTACTGTATGTGCCAGCAAGCTGTTGTTATCACTTAGACAGATTTCCTCCATGATATCCTTTCAGATCTTCCAACAATGTACTCATTGATCCTGTAACTAAGTCTATCCTGCTGGTGGTCATTCTTTACTCTTCTTTCTTTCACCTTTCCCAGCATTAGAGCTTCTCCAGAGAGTTAGTCTATGCATACTGTGACCACAGTGGGATAATCTGACTGGGAACTCTGGGTGGATTTGTTCAATGATCCATTGATTTGTTTTCTTGGCTGTCCATGGTATTCTCAGGAGTTTTCTCTAACAGCGAAGTTTCAAAAAGTGCCCACAGTATTCAAGTATTCTGCTTTTTCACAATCCAACTTTTGCTTCTATGGAGTGTCATGTGGAATATGATCTTTGTAGGTATATAGACCCATCATGGCATTTGAGTGTCATTTCCAAGACCTTCACAGATGTTTTCTACCAAGTACTAGTTTGCAGTGTATTTCTTGATCAGATGTAGCAAATAGTAATTTAGGAGAATCTCATGCTTTCATACCACTTATCTTTGAGTCCATCTCTCTATCCCACTCACTTATTTAAAAAAATTGAATTGTCTGCCTCAGTTAAGAGGTACAAATATATTTATCTGGAAATGCTAGATTGGAGTAGACTAACAGTATAGTGTTTTCTATAAAGAAACAATAAGCCATTTTAAAATAATAAAAAAAAGAATTTAATTAACCCTGGTTTAAAATACTTACCATTTTGGAACACAAGAGATCTTTGGGAGCTTGCCATTATCTACCTGTAAATCTGCAATGAAATATTTTGCTTTCATTTGAAAAATGTAAAAAATCATTACTTTTTTAAAAATCTGTATTGGGGAGAAAAGTAAATATTTTATAGAATAATGAAAAAAGTATTTGTATTAAACATATGTTATAATTTTTCCCTTCTTTTGTAGGAGCAAATAATTCAAATCAAAATCTGATTAGATATATAGTTAAGCAAAGGGGAAAAGAGATATTTTATCAAATGACAGCTATGGTTTTTCTTAGTAACAAAACACTTTCTGTAGTATTGGCATCCCAAAGTAAATATTATAATAATATGGAGCATTAACTAATTATAATTAATATAATATGTAATAATAAATTTGCAAGTACTAGAGAAAGAAACGAAAACATTCATTTAGCCTATTTATAAAACAAATCTAAATTGTTTAACAAGTCCATACTTCCTGAAATCTTTTATATATCTATACCAATATCTAAATTCCACACAAGACAAAATAATCAAAATCAGTAAAAACATAGAAACTCCAGAATATCTCATTAAATTTTTCTTGCAAGGCAATAACATAACTTTCCCAGCTCTGTTGGTTCCCTGGATAAAGGGGATTACTATTCACATCAACCCTAGCTTCAAATCTTTGGAGGAAATAAAATACTAAACTGGCAATAAAACATGTTGAAATATCTGGGCCATAAAAATAATTGTTTTCCTGAGATCAACAAAGGTATCATAACTGGCACTATATGTACTTTTTTTAGGGAGGACATTCCACATCAATACTCAGACAAGGCTGGTCATTCTGTGCTGAACATAAAGTGTCAAGAGACACAAAAAAAGAACCTCAGATAACAAATAAAAAGTTCAGCCAAGCTCATGTACTATAAAATATTATTTCAACTTGCTATGCTAGGCTTCATACCATTTCTATTTTGGGGGCACTAGTTGGGCACTGATTGTATATGGGGTTAGAGCAGGGGTGTCAAACTGCGGGCCCAGGGGCCGGATGTGTCACATGGAATCCGCACCCACCCCATTGCCAGCAATGGCAAAACCGGCCCGATATGTTGTGCGACGTCACGTGACGTCGCGAGTTTGACATGCCTGGGTTAGAGGAACAATAGCACAGCTATATAAGCATTGGTTACATATGCATAGAGTTGTCTCCAGTTACTTGGCAAGATGTATGCACTGCATTTTGTAATACAGATAGGTTAAGATCATTTATTCAGTGACTAGTCAAGTTACGACAGCACTGAATGAAGGGGACTTATGATGAGTCCTCAGAGTTCTGGCTGTCACAGTCTCCCTGTGGTCATAAGATTGTGATCTAGGTACTTTGTCCAGCTCACAATTATGTGGCAGCAAGCTGTGGTCATGTGATTGTGCTTTCTGACATAGATTGCTGGCTTCCCACAAGCAAAATCTATGGGGAAGCAGGCGGGAAATTGGAAGTCACAATAACATAAGGCTCTCACTTAACAACTTGTATGATCCTCATTTAACAACAGCAATAGAGACTGCTGGAATTGCTATCACTAAACAATGCAGTTATGTCATATCATGCCTTATGACTGCATTGTTTAGCCATAGACTTCTCAATCCCAATTACTGTCATAACCAGAGGGCTACCTCTAACTAAAGATTTTCTACCAAGTTTTTAGACAGATCCTTGTACTAGAGGATTCTTCAACTTGTCATATATCTTACACACTGCAGAATAAATCCAAACAACAACCATTGAAATCATCAGTTAATTATTAATGGACTATAATTTGTAAGATTGTTTATCAGTGTTTTTGTCCTAAAAGGAGCCTTGAACACAATATAGAAATAACAGGAAGGATATGAGATTTTGGTGTTGGTGTTTTGGTTACAATATTATACTATTATACTAGAAAAAAGAAGTCATAGTTTCCAAACTGACAATGATTATTTAACATAATTGTTCATCAGGTAATACAAATAATCCTCATTTAATGATAGTAATTGGGAATGTAATTTCCACTGCTAAGCAATGCAGTCATAAGGCAGGACATCCCATGATTGAATCATTTGAATGAGTTATAAGTACTGACATGTATGTGTGTGTGGAGGAGAGTGTGTGTGTGTGTGTGAATGTGTGTATAAATGAGATTTATGCCTTTCTGTATGAAATATTTATTTATTAGATTTATATAAATATTTTATTCTCTCCCCAGTAATATAGTATATATTTTACTATGAAAATTAATATATCCAAATAAAATACTGTATACAGGTAGTCCTCAACTTACAGCCATTTGTTTAGTGACCATCTGAAGCTACAATGGCACTGAAAGAAATGACTTATGATAGTTTTTCATTTTTCAGACAGTTGCAGCGTCCCGTGATCATGTGATCAAAATTTGGATGCTTGGCAACTAGCATGCATTTATGACAGTTGCAGTATCCTGGGGCCATGTGATCCTCTTTTGCAACCTTCTGACAAGCAAAGTCAATGGGGAAGCCAGATTCACTTAACAACCATGTTATTGACTTAAGAATTGGATTCATTCACTTAACAGCTGTGGCAAGAAAGGTTGTAAAATGGGGTAAAACTCACCTAACAACTATTTTGCTTAGCAATGGAAATTTTGGGCTCAATTGCGTTTGTAAATAGAGAACTACGTGTATAAAACTGAGACACATTCCCATAAGGGATGTGATGCTTAATAATTTTAAATATGTATAATTCTATTATACATTCCTTGTATAGAAGGACTAATAAAATAAAATTGCTGTAGAAGGGAGTAATCAGACATTGGTTCTGGCATTTATATAACTTGCACTACATTTTACAATTTTCCTGCTGGAATGCATTCAATGCTAAAGAATAAAAAGAGGCACTAATGCTTGGTAGGTTTGGAAGGCAGCTTTACTACTTTGTATTAGGATTGGCAGCTGTGAGGAAAAGATTACACTCTCCTAGCAAAGACAGATTTACAGTGGATCCAATTGCCATATCTTAAGGCTATTCTTTGAATGCTGTGGCTTAATGAGATTTTTCTTCAGAAAATGCAGACTTCAGATCCAGCAGCTTTATTAGTCCAATTCAAAAGTTACCAGCTTTAATGTTTACAAGAACATGTTTAAAGCTGCACTGAGATATGAGGATGGTTAATTATGGAGCTACCTGAACTACACCTGGTTATATTCTTCAGCTAGACAACCTGTGCATTGTTGGGTCATTTCAGAAATATTTCCTTAGCAGATTTCTGAATGCATTCAACAATGACAGTTTCTAATGTACAGGTAGTCTTTGACTTATGAATCATTTGTTTGGCAACTGTTTAAAGTTTTAGTAGTATATACTGTAAAAAGAAAAGCTTTCAGGTTTGTTTCTCCAGCTGGGGACAAGCTGTCAGCGCACAGAAAAATAGACACAAAACAAAGCAAACTGCCAGAAAGTAGTTTTTAATTCAGAAGCCAGAAAACGTAGTGACACAGCAGTGGGTTCTAGACTAGCTAGTAAAAATCACCTAAGTACATGGTATAATTTATACTCTTTTCTTTCTATTTTAAATCTTGATGAGATTTGTAAGAAGTTTGTTCTTAATTTCCTAGCCTGGTTTTTCCTGTCAGGAGGATTGATTAATCCTATCACCCAGGAAAGGAAATAACTTGATGAAGTTTTTGTATGTGTAGGCTAATCCTGTCATAGGTTCTGGTGCGTGTATGGGGTAATCCTGTTATTGGTTTCTCTGTGTGTATATAGGGCAATCTTGTCAGCTCTTTTTTTTTGTTTTTGTTTTGTTTATTCAAGGATAGCGCTTATCGCTACATTGTTTCTTTTGCTAAGTGTTTCTTGGCTGCCTGTCTGGGGCTATTAACTGAGCTGGGCGGGGAAGAATGGGAGAGGAGAGAGAGAGAGAAAAAAAACCCCCTCTTCTCTGGTACTTTTATTTTTCGGCTTGGCTTTTCTAAGAGAAGGGAAATGGATGTTTCTTTTGGAGCAGCCTTTCGTATTTGTAATAGTTGGTTTCAATACATAGATGGATCTTACCAAAACATAGTAGTTCTACCTGTACAGTTACCAATCTTTCGCACGATTACATTGCTATTACAGCATTTCCTCAAGTTACAATGTTCAAAATAAAGCAATCAACCAAATTAAAAGAATGCTGAAGCTCTAACTTTCGGATTTTGTATTCCAATCAATGCTATCATTCAAATTCTCCAAATCAACAATTTTCCCAAACCACATTTCAAGCTTCCCAATGTCTTTATTTGCATAATCATGCCATCCATATTCTTGCTCAGTTACTTCAACTAGAAAGTTATACTCTGTTAACTTTAGACAATATCATTTTTTTGGCTCCATGGTCAGTCAGTATAATCTAAAGTTTTTTAAATTTATCTATCAGAAAAATATAGCTGTTAAGAAAAACCCAGTAGGAACAGATCGAAGTACAGTCTATTCTGGCATTCTATTCTCACAATAACTAACCAAACACCATGTTAGCTGGGGAATTCTGGGAATTGAAGTATTTGTATTTTAAAGGTTGAGAAACACTAGTATAGGTAGTGGTTATCCTCCTGCCTAACCCCCATTTAAATTTGTACATTTTCTGGCAGAAAGTTGTTTAAAATAATGTTAATTTTTAATTTGTTCTGAATCTGCCATTATTCAGCTTTATTGCATGCATTCTCAAATATTATGATAAACATTGTTTCTAAATGATAACATTTTTATACACATGAAAAGTCAACCTAATGATTATAAACATTTGCAGTACAATTATTCCTATTACCATTTGCCCCTTACAAATAATTGGTGCTCCAACTTTTTACATTACTTTCATACTTTACTAAATCAGTTTTGTTACTTTCATTCTGATTTTGCTAAAGCTTCGTTTCTGTCAAGCTTCATTCTGGCAAAATGAAATTTATTTTTGCATTAATTTTATGTAAAATAAAGTGAATACAGTAAAAAAAGTATGCTTAACCATTGGCATTACATTATTTCCTGCAAATAGTCATCTCTTTTCTTTAATATCTGGCCTTTTTAGGCTACAGTCCACCACAGTAGTCCTTGACCACAACTGAGTTAAACATTTCTATTGCTAAGCAAGACAGTTAAGTGAGTTTTGCTCCATTTTACAACCTTTCTTGCCATAGTTGTTAAGTGAATCAACTCAATTGTTAAGTTAGTTAACACGGTTAAGTGAATCTGTCTTCCCCATTGACTTTGCTTGTCAATAGGTCACAAACGTGATCCCATGTCCCTGGAACATTGCAACGTGATAAATACATGCCAGTTGCTAAGTGCATGAATTTTGACTGTGTGACTATGGACATGCTGCAATGGTCATTGGAAAAATGGTCATAAGTCACTTTTTTCAGTGCCATTGCAATTTCAAATGGTCACTAAACAAATAGTTTTAAGTTGAGAACTACCTGCATGCTATACTTTGAGAATCAGTCTTCCTTGAAAGTTGTTCAATGAAAGTTGTGTTTCTGACTGGTTTCAAACATTGTATTCTATTCCATGGTTTGTTTTAACTGTAGATTCTTGAAAATGACTAGACTCACAGACATTGCTAAACCAGAAGGTATGGTTTACATATCATAATAGTTGGACTTACACATTCCAAACTGTCCAACACATTTTTACTTACTTTTTATGTATTAAATTTATATGCTGCTCATCTCACTATCCAAAGTGGGCTACACTTAGCGTTTGGGAGGGGCCTGAGGGCAGCAGTTAAGTTAGATGATATCAATAAGTCAGGGCAAGGATTTTGTTTCATTTTTCCTTGGTCTTTAGAAAGTCAGACCTAATTAGTCCTTAGATAGGAGACTATAAAAAAATCTGAGGTTAGAAAGCAGTTTGTTTACTGAAATGGCTATATTGACCTATCTGTTTAGGAAGGAACTATAACTACCTTTATAAAAAATTGGAAACCTTTTACAGATTTTTTGCTGAAAATGGATAAAAGTAAAGTGGTGATATGGGAATTTACTGATTAAAAAGGGTTGTTTATGGGAAGAAGGGAACCATGTTACATAATGGTAATAACTGTGTTTGCAAGGGCTGCAAAGAAGGTTATTTAATTCTTTTTCTTTCTCTTTTTTCACTTCCTTTTTATTTTTTCATCACTTTATATCTTTTTCTCTTCCAATGTTGCTTATGTTTCTGTAGTTTTTAATCCTGTCCAAAATTCTTTTTCTATAAAAGTTATACAAAACACTGTATTCAGGACAAGAAAGCAACATGGATACAGTACTTCCCTCAAAATGTTGCAAGCCTCCACTATCCAAATATGATCAGATGGGCAGCAAAAAGGAGGTTCAGAAGCTGCCTATCTGGGTCTGAGCCCCATGTGATTTCTCCATCTGTATTCATAGGTTCGTGCCGTTTTATGATAAAGTGCAACTACAGGTTGTCCTCGACTTACAACAGTTCATTTAGTGACCGTTCAAAGTTATAACGGCACTGAAGAAAAAGGCTTATGACCACTTTTCACACTTATGACCATTGCAGCATCACCAGGGTCATGTGATTTACATTCAAACGCTTGACAACTGGTTCATAGTTATGAGATTTGCAGTTCCTGGGATCACGTGATCATCTTTTGCGACTTTCTGACAAGTAAAGTCAATGGGGAAGCCAGATTCACTTAACGACCATGTTACCAATTTAACAACTGCAGCGGTTCACTTAACAAATGGCGCATAACTCACTTAAAAAAAATTTCACTTAGCAATATAAACTCTGGGCTCAATTGTGGTCGTAAGTCGAGGACTACTTGTACTTCACCTCCATTCTTTTTATTAAAAATCTTGTAAGGTAGACCCTCATTGTTACCCCTGTACTGGTTACCACTCCAAACCCTTTTGGCGAATTTCCCCTTTCTTTCATTAGGCGGCCCGTCCCCCGCGTAGACCCCCTCGAACTACCCCCCCCCGTCCCGCTCCCGCCGGGCTCCCTCACGCACCGCGTTGCTCGAGACGGGGGCGTTGCTGGCTGCTACTCATAGCGGCCCTTCCGCCGCGCTCCCGGGGGCGAAAGGCAGCGTCTTTCTGCAGAACTTGGGGAGACGGAAGCTACCCGGGACGCTCATGGTCCCCCGCGGCGGCCGGCACCCAGAGGGCGGCGGTACCGGCGGCGGCAGCAGCAGCATTCCTGCCCTTCCGGTTTTTGTTACCGCGGTCGCCGGCCAGAGCAGGCAAGGAACCGAGGCCTCCAGTCACTAGGCAACCGGGAAGCCGCAATAAAGAAGTGAAGCTCCGGGTACGGTCTTACGTTTGGTGGGCGGGGAGAAGGTCGCCTCCAAGACGCGGTTCCCTTCTGCCCATAATCCCTGCCCTTCCCGTGGCATTTACAATTCTTATTTCGGTGGGCGAGTGCGGTGTCGTAGCTACGCGGAACTGGAGGTCATGGGAGATTGCTAGTAAACCCCTCTTTTAAGTTTCCCGGGGAAAGAAAGGCAGGCAGGCTGGCTATATGCCAGATCCCAGGCTGTGTTTATGAAATGGCAGGTGAAAGAATAGAATAGAATAGAGTTGGAAGGGACCTTGGAGGTCATCTAGTCCAACCCCTGCTGGAGCAGGAGAGCCTATAAGATTTTAAGACAAATGGCTGTCAAGGCTGTTTCTGAAAGCTTTGAGTGATGGGGCACCCACAAGTTCTTAAGTCAAGCCATTCCATTGATTGATTCTTCTCACCGTCAGGCAATTTCTCCTTAGTCCCAGGTTGCTTCTCTCCTTGATTAATTTCCATCCATTGCTTCTTGTCCTGCCTTCTGGTGCTTGCACATCTCATCTTTGTGGCAGCCCCTTAAACACTGGAACACTGCTGTCACATCTCGTCTAGTCCATTTCTCTAGACTAGACATACTCAATTCCTGTAACTGTTCTTCGTATGTTTTAGCCACAATCCACCACCCCCCAACCATCTTTGTTGCTCTTCTATGTATTCTTTCCAGAGTCTCAACATCTTTTTTATATTGTGGGCACCAAAACTGGACGCAGTATTCTAACTGTGGCCATACTAAGGCTTTGTAATACGGTACTAATACTTCACATGATCTTGATTCTATCCCTCTATTAATGCAGCCTAGGATTGTATTGGCTCTTTTGTCTTTATGATGCTTTATGGAGAAAGGTATTTGGCTTATTTATTTCTATGCCTGTCTTAAAAAACAGATTTTTTCCAGGTCAGCTTACTTAATGTTAAAGGCACAGATAGACATTTTAATGAACGAGTAAAATGCACAGGCATTAATTAAAATACATTGTTTAAAATTAAATTAACTTACAATTAAAGGCACTTGCTAAAGAAGTTCAAAGTTCTCATGAAACACACTATCTATCCATTTAAATTTAACTGTGTTGAAAGAGAATGAAAATGTTGACCCCAGGCAAATCGCCTGAGAGGTTAACCCAGGTTCATGCGCACATACAAAAGGACAGGACTTCAATCTATGGTCCTGCCCACCACATTGACTTCTCAATTGTGGGTAGTCCTACCACTGTGATTGAGTTCCAGAATGCTAACCGCCTACTTGTAATGCAGAAAAAAATCCAAAGGCACTTTGTGACAACATAAAGCTGAGCAAATATGGAATATTCCTTTATTGGCTCAGATTACCTGATGTAGTCAGTAGGCAAGTCATCACATAACCAGATATGATTTTATGATCATTTTATTACCATTTTTTTTACCTCCATCATTAAACAAATCTAGCTTCCCCAATTGACATCACTTTTTGGAAATCAGCTGAGAAAGTCGCAAATTGTGATTGTTGACCGCTACACACTGCAACCCATTGTAAATGTTAGCCATTTGCCAAGTATGCAAATTGCAGTTAGGTGACTTTGAGGTCGATGCAATGGTCATAACTTCAAGGACACGTCATAAATCACTTTTTCCAAGGCCCCTGTAACTTTGAATCATCATTAAACAGTTTAGTCAAGAATTACTTGTTATAATCCTTGACTTACAATAGTTGTAAGTCGAGGGCTCTATTTGTGCTGAGAGCGAGTGCTGAACAGATCCTGCCACCATGCCCAAGTTGACTGTGAGGCCTATCTATATGATCGTGCAGAGGAATTTTCATTCATTCCCAGTTGGATACCAAATGTGGTACAAGTCCTGTGGAGATGCCAAGATAACTTACCCAGTTATTTGGGAACAGTTTGATCCTGTAGTACTAAAATGGCATTGGGTGCATTCATGGATTATTTCTGGTGGGAGCAGGATGGGGGTGGTGCATCCTTCCTTGAACTTCTTGACTTCTTAGCCGCTTTTGATATCATCAACCATGGTATCTTTTTGGGAAGACTTAGGGAGTTGGAGGTGAGTGGCACATTTCTGTGCTGGTTTCCTTCCTTCCTTCCTTCCTTCCTTCCTTCCTTCCTTCCTTCCTTCCTTCCTCTGAGGTCAATCCTAGAGAGTCCAGCTCTAGACCTGCTTTGTGGAGTGCCACAAGTCTTGGAGCTCTCTCTGCTCCTTTTAACATCTACACGAAACTGCTGGGCCAGATCATCCATCACCACAAGATGAGATATTACCAGTAAACCGATTAATATATATTTCCATCCCAGATGAAGTGAGCGATGCAGTGGACATCCCTTTGTGGTGCCAGGAGACTGTGGGGGCCAGACTTTAACTGAATCCTGGTAAGATGGTGCAGCTGTGGATAGTCCCTTCTGTATCCAGGAATTTATCATCTTTGGTCTTGGATGGGGTTGCACTACTGCAGACAGACCCGGTGTGTAACTGGGGGGTCCTCATGGCTCATGATTCTTCCTCAAAGAGCAGGTGACAGCTGTGGCTAGGAAGGCCTTTGCTTAGCTTTGTGTTATATGCCAGTTACATCCTTTCCTGGATAGGGAGGCTCTCTATTCAGTCAGTCATGTTGTGGTCTTCTCCTGTTTGGACTATTACAATGTAGTCTACATGGGGCTATCACTGAAAAGTATCCAGAAGTTTCAGCTGGTACAAAATGCAGCCACTTGGGCAATTTTAGGCACCCAAAGAAACGCAAATGCAACACCTCTGCTCTGTGAGCTGCATTGGATGCCGATTTGCTTCTGGGTCCAATTCAAGGTATTAGTTGTGACCTATAAAGCTCTACATGGCATGGGACCAGGCTATCTATAGAATTGTCTTTGTCCCTTTGCATCAGCCCATCCTACCTGGTCAGGCAAGGAATGTATGTTGCAGACTTCGTCACTTAGAGAGCCTTCTCTGCTGTTACCACTGCCTTATGAAAATATTCTTCTCCAGGAGGTGAGGCAGGCCCCACTCTCCTGGCCTTCCAAAAAGGCTGGTTAGTTCCCTGAAAAGGCCCCTCCTTTGCCTTTTAACTAGTTTTAATCTCTTGCCTTGTCTTAACTTTTTTTTAGATTTCTAATTTTTATATATGCTGTTTTATATTTTAACATTTTATTGTACACCACCAGAATCCCTGTCTGGTTGTAGAGAAATGTCATATCACTTTCTATATAAATTCCTGGTCATACACGGTCACTGTAATGATATATATTGACACCACTTTCTACAAATGGTTGTCAGAATTGGTTTATAGCTTCTGATAACACAGAACATTTTGTCATGTCCCTCATATTTAAGGTCAGATGTTTCCCAGTTGGAAATATACCATCTGGCTGTCTTGTGATTGTTATGTAGAGTCTTCATTTTCATGCTTACTTTATTTTGAAAGGATTAGCTATATAGAGCTGCTCTGCAGTGAAAAATCTGGAACTCCAAAAGCATAAAAATTATTTTCATGATGAACAGCACTGAGGCTGAAAATATCTTTCTGTATTTATGTTTGTTATGAAAAATCAGAAACACAACTGTCTAGAAATGATAATTTGAGAGAAAAGGAAAACAAAATTGACCTACTTTAACATACAAATGATTCATTAATGACAATCATGTCTGGGCAGGAAACAGAAAACAAGATTTGTGGTTGTCCAACATGATACAATCTGTAGTCTGGTTCATATGCAGCAGAAACAAACTGTACAAGCAATATACACATGTCTGTTTTTTGTCTGAAAGATTAATCAAAAGTTTAGTAAAATTGTTTGGTAAAATGTGTGCAAAATATTACCCATATCTCATAACCTTAGAGTGCTTTTCTTCCATCCTGTTGCTAAGCTGTGGAAAAAGCAATACTATCAATACACAATGCATGTGTGATATTATGCGCAAAGTATTTGTAACTTTTTGTAAAATAAAATATAAGATACTATTGGGCAAATTGTATGATCCTCTGAGATTGATTGTTCACTACAGTGCTTGCCTTATAAAACGTAATTATTTTTTACAAATTATTTTGTTCTGTGTCATTTAATGTTATTTATTGACAACTGTTTCTCCATTCTTTGGAACGTCACTGGTTATTTTATGCTTCATAACATCAAATATACAGTAACTGCTGTGATCTAAAAGCACCACATACTTCCTAATTCTAAATTAGGTACTGTATTTCCAATACCACTACATTTCTAACATACTGTCCAGGCCAGGGGTAGGCAACCTCGGCTCTTTTATGACTCATGGACTTCAACTCCCAGAATTCCTGAGTCAGGAAAGAGTCATAAAAGAGCCGAGGTTGCCTACCCCTGGTCCAGGCAGTCCTTGACTGATGACCATAATTGAGCTTGGCAATTACAGATGTAAGTCTTGATGGTCATAAAGCAGGTCATCATTTGGCTGACCTGATTTTATGATCTGTTCTGCAGTGATCATTCAGCAACTATTGTTTGTAATGGGGAGCTTTTGTTGAAAACCAGAAGTAAATGCCTGTTTTTGACAAAAGGGTTATAAATTGTGGTCATGTGACCATGGGATGTTGCAAAATAGCAATAATTGTGGGCCGGGTGCTGAATGGCCAAAACGCAGTCAATGATTGTGTGTGTGGGGGGCACCATCAGAACTTCAGAATTGACATATCTTAACTCAGACATCTATGTTTTGATAACTTAATTGGGGTATCACATGAGGCTGTTTTTTTACCACGGTGCAGAATTTTATGACCTACTTTTAAGCAGAGATAACATGCTGTAAAAACCTTTGCAGTTTGCTGGTTATAAGTCAAAGCAAGATT